TATAATTAAATCCTCTAAATTTTAATTTACATAAGTATTTACAAAACCTATACAACAAATCACATCAAAACTGCATGAATCACCATCAATTTAAACCAAAATTTTTGGATTAAAACCCGATAGTATATTAGTTTCGGGTTTTATCGAAATTGCATAATTAAAATTTAAATTTCATGCAACCAAACATATGTTTTAATTTTAAAATACATAAGTAATAATATTCAAGAATCAATTTAGATAAAACACATAAAATATCAAAATTTTAATAAAAAATTGAATTTGATTCTAATATTGAACTCAAATATTTGAACCTTGATTTCTCTCTATAATGAATTACTAGAAATTGTTGATATAATTTTAATCCTTGTTTCAAGAGAAACAAAAGTCCTAATTTAATTTTCAAAAACGATAATTGAAAATTCCGATTTTGACAACACAAAATTCACTAAAAAACTATGTTTTTTTTTTATTTAAAACAAATTTGAAAATAATAATTTGGGTACTAATCTCACATAAGGAGACTCTTACATCAAATGCTAGCATAATACAAGATCCATATGTAAATATTATAGTATCATAATCAAACAAATTGATTGACATACCTATATGGGCAATGTTTTTCTCTTTGTTCTTTTCTTGTTGACGGTTCTCGATGAGTGGATACTATTAATTAAAAGGGAGGAGAAGACATTAACTTATTTTATTAAAAACCTAGAAGCTTTTCCATCAAAGGTTCACTAGATCAAAACTCTACTGCTAAATTACATTGATCCAATAAAATATACAAAACTCATATATATAAATGATCATTATTAAATTATTTAAATTTTCATGCATGTCTCATATTATAATTAAATTTATCAATTTATTTTATTAAATTGTAAAATCACTAATTAATAATAACTCATTTATTGAAAAATTCTAATATTTAAGAATTATATAAAGTGAAACCTGAACTGCTAAAGACAGTTCTATAGCTCATAATTATCCATACCCCTCCATGCAAGAGACTCATGTATTGTAATTTGTAACACTTGTATTTGTCTAATTATAACTTTATCATTGTTTGAAACCGAAATCATACTGGACTATCTAACAGCAGCTTAACAAAGAGTAGAAATTTAAGATGCATGTCAGCATTTCAATGATATACATGGTGTAAAGAAGATTAATATTTGTAAATGGATTAATTGTGTTGGTAAGATTTAAATATTTTGTATGTAAAGCTTAATTTTGATTTTCATTACAGTAATTTTTTTTATAAACAATTTAGAAATTTAATGTCTTTTTTTTTTTTTTAAGCTTTTGATATAACCTTGGAATGTGGAAGTCTTTGTCATCCTAAACTTTTTTGCAAAATAAAAAAAAATACATTAATCTTTGTTACAAGTATATATTTGACCTACTCGTTCCATGGGATATGGGGGCAAAGCCATGAATTTCTGATCAACAAAAAAAGTCCGGAATCTACAAACTGATTCAATCCACATTCACTACTCCTGCAGTGCATAACTGAATCTACAAGCGGAAATATAAACCAAGACTCCTGCAGTACGCAATACAGAATGTGCCTGATCTGAAGGACTCTGTTTGATTGAGATTTTAAGCTTGGTTCAAATTTATCCATTGCAATGGTCAGATGTTTAATAACATGCTTGGATATAGAATAAAGGCAGCCTCAAGTTTATCTAAGCATCAATGCAAGTATGCAACATATCACCCAAAAACTCCCACAAAATAAATAGTAAGAACTAATTTGAAAAGTTCATATAAGAAATTTAACAAAGCATATAAACAAAAAAGGGAAGAGACAATCGAGACTTGTAGCCTTACTAATAATCAAAGTAATCAAACTCATGAACATGAAGCCATAATAGCATGCTTGAAAAGAGCCTGAAATTCTCTATAACCTCTCCTATAGTGCTCCAGTATGAAAGAAATGCGGTTCTGTTTGGGATTGGGGGGAAACTGGAAAGAAATGAAAGTGGGAAATGCAAAAGTAGCACTGTCACGCACTCATGGAGACAACCAATCGTGGCTTCACCACTAGCTTCTTTCTTTCAGACACAGTACTACTACTGCACACTTTAGAACTTATGCCTATATTGAACAATAAAACATGAAATTTTACCAATCTATAACTATTTTTCCCTCCTGCACACAAAAGATGGGTCGCCTTTCCGGCTGGCTTTTTGTGAATTTATAGACCAAAATCAAGATGCTCTTGTCAGAGAAACACATGCTTGCGATTGTTTTCCTATCACCAGTTGAGTAGTATGAATCATCTTTGACTTTATCTCATCTGCAGCTTTCATTTTTTCGCATTTTAATTGATTAATAATTTGTATTAATATGAGAGAAAGCATATTGATATTTCTGATAGATTCTGAGATGTTGGCATTTGGTTAATGGTGACCAAATTAAGTTTCCTCCATGTGAGGCTAAGCTAAGCTATTGATCGTAATCAATGTTTAACCTTCCGCTTTTGAAGGTTGGGCCAATGGCAACTTTTGATGATCTGGGTAATTACCTTTTCGAATTAAGATCCTTTTCACAGTAAGAAAGGCAACAGCTTAAATAATTACCTAATCAGTAGCTTAACATGTAGTGAATGGAGGCCTCCAATGTCCGATAAGGGGCGGAGCTAGAAGGTGTAGGAAGGGGTCACGTTCCCCCAAAAATTTTTTTATCGCTTGTTATATAATGATTAGTACCATTTAATTATTATTTTAATTTCTTTTCTTTTGAATTATTATTTGACTCTCCTTTATAGATTTTTTGCTTTCACCTCTGTGTCCAATCCTTCCATTATTAATTTAACATGGCCTACCTTATTTTTTGACAAACACCCAGACCTTCATCAGTTGCACAGCAATATTTATCTAAACAAAACATTTATGGCGGATGATCAATCTTCCATCAGGTCATGTCAACAGTCCAGGAAGGGGTTATCTTTATATATATATATATATATATATATATATATATGGGAATTTTTGGTTGCAAGTTGCAAGTTGCAACATCCAACATATCCAAAAAAATTTAATAATTTATGTTGGATGTTGCAACTTGCAACTTGCAACAAAAAAAGATTAATAATTCCCATATATATATATATATATATTGCAACCAAAAAAGATTAATGATTTATGTTGGATGTTGCAACTTGCAACTTGCAACTTGCAACCAAAAAGATAAATAATTATCATATATATATATATATAAGATATTAAATTTTTAATTTAATGATTAAAGATGTTTAAAAAGATATCAAAATTTTGATTTTGAATCAATTTTTTTTATTTATATTAAGATTTTATTTTTTTGATGTAACTAAAAAAATATTCTCACATATATATATATATATATAAATCCTCTCTAGTTAATTTCATATATGATTCTCTCTCTCTCTCTCTATATATATATATATGGGAAATTGAATTTATTGCATCCCCAAAATGATGAAACCTATTTTTTATTTTTTTTTACAAGGAAAAGTCGCAACTTAAGGGAATCAAAAAGGGAAAATTGCAAGCACTGGGAGATCGAACCCCAGCTACACAGTCAATGTATAACCTAAAGCTTCTTTTGAGTGCCAAAATTGATCAGAAAATATCCTTTCAAGTCTTACAGGTTATACAAATAAGAAGCCACCAAACCCCAATATTATGGTCGACAGCTCTATTACTAAAAGGATACAGCTCTATTACTAAAAGGAAGAAACATGTATGTAGCATACAAGCATTAAACAAAACCGATTTTGAGTGATGATTTGGTGAAAGTCTTCACATGAAAACTACACCTTACCAAAATATGCTATTGCTCCACTTGAACAAAATTAAAATCTGATGGCGGAAAACTCATGTGAAAGTTCCCAATAATATATAATTTGACTTTGATTAACAATAGCATTTACCAATTTTCTTTAGCTATCATTTTCTCTTTTCAAGGTTTCTGTCACGGTGTGTTGACATTGTGAATGGAGTTTTTTTTTTTTTTTTCACTGAATGCCTGGCGCCAGCTGCTTCCCTTTTTTCCAACCTTTTGTGGAATCTTTTGACGTAGGAAACACTAGACAGATTAATCATTATTCAGTACTAGACCTAGCTAGCTAACTAGGTTTTTTCCAAGCCATGACCTTTTAGTTTACTCTATCATGCAGCACTGAAATTGATGAACAACAGAAAGTAAGAAGCCCTCATGTTGGTGCAGACTCAACACAAGTAATAATTCTTGTTACACATTTAATCTAATTCCCTTTCTTTTAGGTAAATGAAAATCTAGGTGCAGCTTAATAACGTCAACGAAAACAATCAGCTGTTCAAAGTCAAAACCTCTTAATGTCGAAAAAAATGAATTAATATAAACAAACCAAATATGCTTCATGTTATATGTGGAACATAGCTTTTGAAACTGTATGTTTGATTTAATTTAAGAACCATATATTTGTCCGATTTAAGTCACCTCTGACCGAGCAAAAATCACATTATCAATTTGTGGCATGGTAGACATTAATTAAAATGATTTTAGATTTAGATTGATAAAATATTATTATTGAAACCAGGATAATGTTGGTCTGCAATATGCCAATAAAACAAACAAATGAAATAAGCCAATAAATCATCAAATGCCCGACAATTGTAGTAAGAAAATCATTTATATTAGGTGATGAAAAGCAATACAAAAATCCTTGCCGCTCTGTTCAAGGACAGATCTCCTTTTCCAAGGGTTATTTTTCTAGGACTTGTTCAATTCTTTATCTTAATCTTAATAACCTGCCTTTTGTGAGTGTATCACACTGTATTCTTTGTATAATGCAACTCGGTGCCATGTGGGTTGACCCTTAGAGCATTTTGAACCGTTGATAGATCCCAGAAGTTGGAATTATGTTAGTTTATTAGAATAATTATGATGAAACTGGCCACAGACAAGCACAGCTTATTAAAAACTTCTAGTGATGATTAGATGAAGCAAAAATGATGACACTTTATGACTATTCCAACTATAAATGCAAAATCAGCGAGCTGTTTCTGAGTCTCCAAATCAACTGATTTCGTCTTGACCAAAAAAAAAAAAGAAAAACAAAAGCTAGGAAACCATGGGAGAGGAGTTGAGTATGACAGAAACGGAAAGAGCGGCCATGAATCCACACTTTGTGCTGGTACATGGTGTTAGTGGAGGAGCTTGGTGCTGGTACAAAATCAGGTGCCTTATGGAGAATTCCGGCTACAAGGTTTCATGCATCGATCTCAAAGGTGCCGGGATTGATCAGTCCGATGTCAATTCTATTTTATCCTTTGATGATTACAACAAACCTCTCATGGACTTCATGTCTGCCTTGCCTGATACTGAACAGGTTATCAGTCATGACTCTATCATCTTGGATCATGTCACTATTATTTGTATGCAGGCGCAATACTCATAACAGAAGCTGATCTTATTTGCAGGTAATATTGGTAGGTCATAGTGCTGGAGGCTTAAGTGTAACAAAAGCCACTCACAAATTCGCCAAGAAAATCCGTATGGCGGTGTATGTAGCGGCCACTATGCTGAAATTTGGGTTCTTGACTGATCAAGATGTCAAAGATGTAAAACTTTTCTAACTACTCATCTATTCTTCGTCCGCCTTGCTAGCTGGCTATCTCATGGTGACAAATAAAATTCTATCCTGTTAAACCGTTCTGTGTAGGATTCTGTTTTTCTTTTTTTAACCTTGGATCTTGAAACATAGGGATAGGGGAGTTGCTAATGCCAAGAGATGTGCCAAATGCCAACTGTTTTCATGAAGGCTTGGCTGTCAGCCATTTCACCATGCCACATCCCATATATTCTACATATACATATATAGGAACCCAAAACTTTACAGTCGTTGCATCTTAATCGATTACCTTCAGTCACTGCTCAAGGTTGTTCACAGCTTGCAAGCGTGATCTACTACCATACACCTGTGTAGTGTGTAGCTTCCGGTTGGTTCATATATAATCCCAAGCTATCTGTTTCTCATCTCAGTCCCTTATTTTCAACTGCACAAAACAAGAGGCACAAACAGGGTTGAGAGAAAGGGAGCAAACAAACATCTGTCTTTTCTTCTTTTCTTTACCATTTCTAGGGAGTGATTCTCTTCTGAACGGCAGAAGAATAATCAATAATACACACTTTGCCATGTCACATGCATCCCATTGCCATCTGCATCACTCCTCTTGGCTTGCATTCTCGGCTTGGGAATCAAAACGCCATTACCCTACTTGAGAATAAGGCCAAGCCAAGAGGACTTCATTATTTTCATATTACTGGTAATTACTTTTTGATCCGTTTCACATAGGATTCTAGTTGTCTTTTTTATTTACAAGCAATAGAATCTATTCCCTATCAGTTTTCTAATACTAAAACTTCACACTTCTCATTTGAATGGGGTGTTATTCATATATTTAGTTGTTTAATTGTTTTAACTAGACACCAGCTTTCTCAGAGTTTAATTTTCAATTTTTTTTTTTTATAACAGGAAGGAATGGATATATATTATCCTTTACATTTTATCCAATTAGATCTCTCCAATTACCCTTGAACATTTAAAACAAAAACCTTTCATGAGTTTCAGACTGCAATATTTCAAATTCCCCCTTTCAATTTTTGAAAGCATGCATGCAGTTGTTGTTGTCTTCATGTCTTTATGTCTGTTGAAGCAGCAAATGTACGTGCATTTTATTCTCTTCTTATCCTTGCAGTTGGCATTAGCCGACAATGCCATTGTTCAAGTTTACTTTTTGTTTAACTACAGTACTGTCATATTGCACTGCTACTATTGTTAATCTACCTACAATGATTGAGAGTTGAGACAGGATAGAAATATAATTTAATTAATTTGTACTTTGCTGCTGAAATTGTGACTTGTGATTTTGTTAGTTAAAATTTTCATATGATTATCCTGGAAAAGTAAGCAATTATTATTAATGGCTGCTGTCAAGTACAGCTTCATACATAGTTGATATATAAATGTCAAATAGGGAGTACCTGATTTATCCCAATTCGGTGAGGTGTACGAATTGGAATTTGGATTGGGACCTGAGCAGCCACCAACCAGTGCCATTATCAAAAAGGAATTCCAGCGCAAAATCATCTATCAAATGAGCCCTCAAGAGGTAATTTTTATGTCAATTGAGTATTAAAACTACCTTTCTTGTCTTGGTCTCTTCTATGTTATGCTTTGGCATGTCAATCTTCCCACGCCCATTTCTTCTTTTTAATATCCTTTTCCTTCGGAAAGACAAGAGGAAACTAGAACCAAATATGTCCTGATCTTGTGCATAAATAAAAAGAACCCGCAGTAGTGAGTCCATGAAAAGTAGGCTGCTAGTCACTGGCACAAACAATTTGCTTGGGCTCAAAACATAGAAAATGTATGGTAGTGAACATATTAAATGAATTGAATTGTTTAGATTAGGTTATCAATTTTTTTTTTTCAAAAGTTGATGTCAAACTAGTAGACAAATGCATTCTTAACCCCGGTAGAACACTTTTAATGATAGCATTGCTGCTGCAGGATTCAACTCTAGCTACAATGCTTTTAAGACCAGGACCGACCCTAGCATTGCAGAGTGCTCGATTCACAGAAGAGCCTGAATTTGTGGACAATGTGCCCCGGATATACATTAAGGCAATGCATGATAATGTTTTAAAACCAGACCAACAGGATGCTATGATAAAGAGATGGCCGCCATCTCAATCGCATGTTTTGGACAGTGACCACAGCCCCTTTTTCTCTGCCCCATTTTTACTCTTTGGCTTGCTGGTTGAAGTTGCAACTTCAGCTGGATATAACTAGCTGGCCGCATAAATGTCAAACGAGAGCCTTAATTCATTAGCATTCTTGTTGCAAAAGAGAATTTGTTGTTATTTTCTAGAGTGTGAAACCAATCACAATAACTACCTACATGTCCTGATAAATAAAGATTACTTACGAAATTATGAATATTCAGCTAAGCTGATTTATAGGCTACCAACTGGATGCAATAGAACTATATATAGAAGTATAGAACATGATCTCATCCCTATTTTTTCTCAATATTTCACAATTTACATTTTTTGTTTGTCGTGGGTGAAAGTATATTCTAAGTAACTAATTATTTCAACCACATTTAAACCAGAACTGTTTTATTGTGATTGCATCTTGGTTTTTTCTTTATGATACGGAAAATAGAGTGGAATATTTTAATGTTGGGGATCGCCTTAAAACGTCCAAGAGCAAATCTGTGTTTGCAGTTTAGAACAACAAAATCCCCACGAGTGAATCCAGCCATAAATCCACGTGCTTGCCAGTTTTTTCATTGCATAAAATTATATATATTATGTGTGTGTGTATATATATTCCTGTTCAAATCCTTGCAAAAGGGGTTAGCCGACATTGCTACTGTTAACTTTACTTTGTTTAACCACTAATTATGTTCGATCACACCAAATGATTGACTTTGACAGAATGAAATGTGCGCAAAACATCATATATATATATATATATATATATACATGTGCACGCGCCGCTTTGGTTTAAAATTCACAACCATCTTTCTTGTCTTGTACTACGTCTATATTTTGAACAGGATCAAGGAATACCTAATTTATCCGAATTTAGAGACGTGTACGAATTAGGATTAGTATTGGGACTTGAACCGATCATCCTCCAACCACTCCCATTTGCCAAAACTGAATTATGAGTCCTCATGCTAAGGGGTTAACCTTAATTTCATGGCACCTTGCAGTACCTTATGTGACTGTGGCCTTTGCTTCTGTTACTGTTACATTTTGACGTTGCATTTCTCTGTTCACAATTTTCCACAATTTTCCAGTTTTCACTGCTTGGAAAACCATAGGGTAAAAGCCAGGTAAAGTCAGGCTTATAGCAAGTTGTACTGAGGCAGAAAATTTGCTCTGGGCCCTGGAAACATGAACTAAAGAAATAGGAAGGCAAACAGTTATGACATTGAACTTGAATTTGCTGTATTCTTGATCATCAGTCTGAAAGTGTTAAACAAGTTTAATAACGGCATTTCTCCAGCATTCCACTATAATTTTGAGGGCAGGACCATTTCCTAGCATTAGTTAAAAGGCCGGTTAGCAAATGAGAGGGTGATGATGTGGTTAAGGTGCGCGGTGTTTACATTACGGTCTGATTTGTATGCGTTTGGACATTGACCACACTCCCTTCTCCACACCATTTTTGTTCTTCAAACTTGCTGGTTAGAGCTTCTGCAACTTCAGCTGGACTATAATATTATATATATTTATTTATATTCAGGTACGGATGTACATAGTCGCAGAGGAGAGAGCTGTACCCACGGAATTCCTAAATTGTTTTAGGCTTAATGAAAAAAACTCAAAAGTTTTGAAAATTAAAAATATTACCACGACTAAAAATATTTTTATCAAATTTGATCCCACTAAATTAAGGTTCATACAAAAAATATTTTATTGTTTATCTAATAATTGAACATTGACCCTTTGGATATTAAAAAAATTTTCGTTATAATAATATATATAAATTTGTAAAAAAAAATGTAAATCATTTTTAGAGAGTTTGAAATTATTAAATTTCAAATTTCTCTTAATAATTTATTTAAATGAATATGAGATGATTGTATATAGATAGCGAAACCTAGAGATTGTACTATTTAAATAGTTTTAACCACTTCTTTAGCACAACAAAAAAAAAAAAAACATATAAAATATGAAGTAATTAAAAAAATTATTTAGATTTATATCTTCCTTTTTTTTTATTGTATGTAAGAAAAGAGACATTTTTGTCCTTCAAATTATAATGAATAGGAAATAAAATTTGTTTGTTTATTTGAAATAAATAATAAAACTAGACATATTAGAAGTGAATAATAAAATTAAATATGTTAATTTTTATATTATTTTTTCATATATTATATTTATTTTTAAAAATTTTATAAGTAAAATTTTATTAAATTAATATATGTGTTTCTATATTGAAAATTGATTTATCTAAATAATAATAAGGTTATATTTGTTAACAATGATATAATTAATTTTATGTACAAACATTATTTTTATAACAAAAAAAATTTTGCGTACAAAAAATATGTTATACATCCTGATTTTATTGTAATTTTTTTTACATTAATTTGTATTTTAATAAAAAAATTTAAAGTTAATATAAAATATTTATCTTCACTTATCATAAATTCTAAATCCATCATTGTTTATATCATTGGTGTTTTTGAGTCTAATCAATTTAAGGTTGGTTTGTGTGGAAATTCCTCATTGATTATGGAGCCAGCCAACCAACCAAATATTTAGTGATGAGCACGGGGCAATTTACATCAAATTAAGTAGTTACTTTGCCTTATTTATATGCACAAATCGTTTAAAACAATAGCATCTCACTTAAACTTTTTTTTTTATTATAATCTTACGATTAGTTAATCATAACAAAAAAATTATGTAAAAATTCATTTAAAAATGTACCTTCTACCTAATTTTTTATGAATCTTATAAAATATTATATTATAATTTATTAATTATATTATAGTTATTATAAATGATATACTTTCAATCAAAATAATGAATTATGATTTCATTGCAAAGAATCACCAATCATAAGTAGTATGTAAATCATATGTACGATCAAAGTATTTTAATAATATTGAAAGAAAAATGATCAAGTTATATCAGTGTAAAATTTTTTAGTTTTATATTTTTTTTTTGTCTATTAATTTTAATAGATTCAATAGATAAATTAAAATTTTTTATTTATTTATCTCTCTCATCTCTTAAATCTATTAAAATTAATGATTAAAAATAATATAAAAAGGTTATTGGATTTTTATGAATAATCCTAAATATCATTTATGTATTGATTAATTTTTTTTTTGTTTTGCTGATAGTGCATTAGTATATTTTATTTGTTTATTTTCTTGGGTCAAATTCGAGAATTTTATTGCACATGAAATTAAGTACAACTCATTTTCCCTCAACACGGAAAGCCTCAAGCTACCCTTGGTCCTTATAGAGCCCTGCACATTCTACAATCTCCAAGGAGCTAAGTTCAAACTTATTCTACAGGGTGGGCTGGTAACCCATCTCTACTTTAGATGTTTACTAAGGAGGATGGGGGTAAATTCACCCAGTTTTATATGCACATCCCCCTCTTGACTTGCTTTGCAACCCAGTCCGTCGCTTTATTAGCCTTACGACTGATCCACAAACATTTAAATCCCTCAACTTTATTTTTCCTTGCCTTTATATCCTGTATAATAAGAAAAACTCTCTAACACCCTTTCTTGATCTTTCCTGTTATTTCCTTGTATAAGAGCTCAAAATCAGTTTCTAACATTATCTTCCTAAGCTGTATACTTTCTATTAGAACCACACCTTTCAAAGCCAAGGCCTCTGCCTCTATACCAGATTTTACAACCACTATTTTTTTGCAGTCCCTCACATTACTCTGCCTTCCTCATTCCTCACAATCACTCCTATGCCCGCTTGCTTAAAATCTTTGTATGCACCATCATATAGTTAATCTTATTCCAACCTGTACCTGGCCTACTCCATTTCTCATTCTTCTCTTGCCTTCTTTGCTTCACATTACCCTTTTCCCGTACTTGAACTACCATTATCTCCTTTACTGCTTCCGTAATCCTCCTTAAACATTTTAGAGGTTCTAACATTTGTTCGTGGAATGCCACAGCTTATCTATATTTCCAGATTATCCAACATTTCATTGCTATAACAATAAAAAACTTTCTGTTCCTTTTGCCTTCAGCTTCTCCCACACTAAGCACCTTCCCCAGCCATTTTTCCAACGTCGTGATCTACTGCCTATCAACCTTATACCTTATGTCCAATCCATACCACACCAATTGAGTCCATTCACATAAAAATAATGTATGCTCAGTTGACTCCTTTTCTTTTTCACATATTGGACATAACGCTGACTTTCTCATCTTTCTTCTGTACAAATTCCATTTCGTAGCAACCCAATTTCCATAAGCTCTCCATAAAAAATTCTTGACTTTATTTGGCACTGGTAGCCTCCAAATCATTTTCCAAACCTTATCCTCCACCACAAAGGAACTTTGATGGATTTCTATAGTAGATAGCATTTTCCTTATTCTTTAATACATGATACCCTGCTTTTACAGTATAATTCCCATCCTTATTATTTTGCCACACTGTCTTATCCTTTCTACCATTCTTACTCACATGGACTGCCGTTATGGCTTTGCACTATTCTTCTGTTATATATTCCTTAATTATGTCCAACTTCCAAGAGCCATCCCTACCATCTATAATCTCTGCTACTTTCTGAAGTATACCCTGGTCTGGTTCCCTAGAACAAGTCAAAATATAGTCTGGCACCCACCTGTCCTGCCATATATTTCCATCTTCCCCATTCATCACTTGCCATAGCATTTTTATACTTTATAAAGTCTCTTCCTTCTAATATACTTGCCCAGGCCCAAGACGCCTTTGAACCCTTCTTTGCTTCCTAAATAGAACACTTAGGAAAGTAAATTCCTTTAACAATTCTCAACATTATTTGACATTGCTTTGCAAGTAGTGCAATATTGAATAGATATAAATCTTTAAATTCCATTCCTCCATTCTCTTTCCTATTCGTAAGGTTCAACCAGCTCACCCAATGAATCTTCCTTTCATCTTTCTATTACCCCCACCAGAAACACGCCATTGCTGGGTTGATCTCATCACAAACCTTCTTTGGAACTTTGAAACACTGCATTGTGTAAATAGGAATAGCACAAGCTACTGCTTTTATAAGTACTTCTCTTTCTCTTTGCGATAATGTACTCCTCTTCCGCGTTGACAGCTTCTTTAAAATTCTTTCCTTTATACACCCATTACAGCACTCTTTGACTTGCCCCAAAATGATGGAATACCCAAGTACTTTACTAGATTTGCTATAACCTGGACCTGCATCCGATCTGCCATCTCGTTTCTAACCTGCTCAGGTGTGTTAGA